CACCTGGGATGCTTGTAGCTTCACCTGAGATGCTAGAAGCATCACCTAGAATGCTAGAAGCATTACTTGAAATGCTAGTAGAACTATCTGAAATGCTACAAGCATCACCTGGAATGCTACAAGCATCACCTGGAATGCTACAAGCATCAACAGGGATACTGGAAGCATCACTGGGGATGCTAGTCGCTTCACCTGTGATGCTAGTAGCATCGCCTGGAATGCGATTATCAGCACCTGGGATGCTGGTAGCATTACCTGGGATGCTACTGGCCAAAAATGGGAAAAGTATAAGTGCTTCAACAGGTAGACAATGATGCGATTCATTCGATTGACACTAATCATTACACTCATCTCATCCAGAGAGTGAGAGTTCTTGTGCACATCTGCCAAATATTTATCTTAAATATGAATTCTATCATGAACATACACGTGAGTTATGTGTACGTCACCTCTTAATATGCCACTCGAAAGTCAACTAATACAGTTAAGAGAATAATACGACAAAGAATCCTTTTTATTGAAACCGTGGAAGTCTTTCCTAAGAATAGTACCACTACACTGTTATTTTTATTCAAAATAATCCTTCTAAAAATGACTCACTCCTATTAGAAGCTCATTTCCACATTTTTTTATTAAAATAGTAAATTCACTATCATAAGCATTACAAAACACCCAGTTCTTCATAGAAAACTCATTATTGCAACAACGACGCATGCTTGTTAAACTGAGTATGATTGAATTCAAGGGAGGACTGGAAAATATCCCCCAAAATTGAGAAATTGTTCCATTTATAGCAGAAATTCTTTACTCTACACAAAGTCAAGCAGAAACGGTTTTTATAGCGAAACATAATCCATCATTAAACATTTTTGATTAGAAACATATCAAACATATCTGTCCTCACAGGGAGAAATGTATAAGATGTAAGGATAAATCGATTAGATTATTCACTTAACATAAGGAGAAATGAATAAAATTATTTTTCGAGTATAAGGTGAAGTACTAGTAGACATGGATTTTTTTACAGCAAAAATATAAAATTTTCTATTAGAAATCAATAATACATTTCTACCCTGACAAGCAGAAATGTATAAGATGTAAGGGTAAATCGATTAGATTATTCACTTAGCATAAGGAGAAATGAATAAAATTATTTTTCGAGTATAAGGTGAAGTACTAGTAGAAATGGATTTTTTACAGCAGAAATGTAAATATTTGTAGCAGAAATCGTTCATTCATTGCAACCTTAATAAGGCTAAACGAAGAATGAAAAATAGAGCGCGGAGCAGAGATTGGTAAACATATGCTTGTATTCTTTCCTTCTGTTTCTTCTCGCTGATGTATTTGTTTATGGTAAATTAAACGTGATTTATATATATGTTTATATTCTCTTCTTGCATTTCTCCTTGATACATGTGACTTTTCGTGGGACGAACTATTTCTCCTTAAACAGGAACAATTCCTCAATCGATTGGTTTAATCGTCCGCTGCTGATGTGGGTGGCTGTAGTTGTTGACGTGGGTGTGGGATCTACGTGTGAGCGTAAATAAAAGACCGAGACCGAGACTCACATCTACACCTACACCCACATCTACATGCACACCCACACCCACATCTACACCCACACCCACATCTACACCCACACCCACATCTACACCCACGCCCACATCTACACCCATACCCACGTCTACACCAACACTCACGTCTACACCCACACCCACACCCGCATCTACACTCACATCCTCAAGAAGTAAAACAGTATTTCTAAGTGTCTGGATTTATATGAACACCAAAATTTCTTGAAGCTTTTCTCAATTTCACGTTTCTTCTCTAAAATATATGCTCCGGTCTCCTACGATGAAGTCGTCGATGCTCGCACTCGAAGCGGTAGATTCGGATCGATCGTCTCGCTCCCAGCAAATGTTCGACTACGAGTCACTCGTCGATCCTTCGTTCTTGCTTTCTCCTGAACTTGTTTGAGAAGACTGTGGACATATTTGATTTCGAACGAACGTAATCGAGTATAATCATCTCCATCAATCACATTGTAATTCTCAATGTAGAACGAAGGAATCGATCCTTGTTGAAGATGTCGATGTAATCGTTTGAGAATACTCGTCACACGATGAATAAGCCCACCCTTGATCCATTGTTGTGGTTGTGGATATCGACTAATTTCATGTAGAAATTCCGTTTTTATCATGTACGATGTCACTAGTTCATCAGCTACATAAGTAACTTTATCAATTAGACATTCGTACGGATTGATATAACGTAAAGTTTTTAAACTCAAATAAGCATCTTTAATTTCGTCGACTAAGGAAAGAAAATCGACAAGTTCAGTGCGCGAAGTTGAGATACGCCAGAAATAGGTTTGATCGGGACTCGGACTGCGTGCAATGATCTGAAATTCGGGTTTCGCCAAAGGACAAGCGACTTTGACTGTACGTGGCCATCGATACACGGTTAAACAGGGTACCACATCGATTTTAATCGTCAACGAAGCATACTGAGATCCATACCATTCGGCATGGATGGCTGTGCCACAGCGTTTATCGCCACTAGTCCATTCGAATTTGAGGTGTTTGAATTCTTGTATTGTTTTTTGATGGATGACAAACGCGCGAGCGGAAGTGAGCAATTGATAGAATCGTTTGAGGACCTTCATCGACGAGACGCATTTTGTAGTCGGTTCTAAATAGGGGCGAAGTTTTTCACGTGCTTCATGCGTTAACAACGGATACAACCGGCCGTAGCCAGGTGGATCATTGACATCATCGATGAAAGTGCAAAGACGTTGAATCTCAGTCAAATTGATCATATAATCGAATTCATTCGGTACACCGATTCGTGTTCGCTCATAATAGGAACCACTGCATATCAAATCATGACGAAAGAGTTGATCGAATTTTTCCATTTCAATAATTAATAGTCGCACATAAGTTTCTACTTCATGACGCATTTCATCTTCTTCAAAGGTATAATCAATGCGATGTATGCCGAGCAATTGGGTCAGATAGGTTTTCGGCGAAGATTCATCGAATTTAGTCTGATTTTTTCGATTAGCTACATCGATCATTTTCGGTGTCCATTGAAAAAAATTCGGTCGATCAATATCGAAACCTTTTTCGGTCAAATAATTAGCAAAACGAGTTTTTCGATGAAACATAGCGATATGCAAAGGTGTATTACCGAACAAATCGATCTGTTCGAAATCGATCGGTTTCAGCTCGCGTCCTACATAATGAAAGAAAAGACGCCCCATTCGAGTATTACCATTCTTGGCTAGAAAATGCAAATGCGTCCAGTCATAAATATCGGACTGAGGAATCCAACGCAATGGATCACATGCGAAGAGCAATCGAATACATCGAGTTCGACTATAGAGCAGAGCCGTATGTAGTGGGGATCGTCCATCAGCTTGTGTTTGAAAGGGATCAGACGCATGTTTAAGCAAATGCTTGACAATACGGTAATACCCGTTTCGAGCAGCAACAAAGAGCGGTGATGCACCGCTATTTTTAGCCAAATGGACTAATGCTCTGAATCGAATGAGATGATAGACACAAGTGAGATGGCCTTCGTATGATGCATGATAGAGAGCCGTTGTGTTATCGTTAGCCTGTTGATCGGGATCAGCTCCATGCTGAAGTAGAGCAAGAACGATCTCAGCGTGGCCCTTTCGAGCGGCTACCCAGAGCGGTGATGTTTGACTCACATCGAGAATATCATAACGAGCACCATGCTGGAGTAAGATATTCACTAAGTTGGCAAAACCTCGTTCACAACCATAGTAGAGAGCTGTTTGACCGGCATGATCAATAAGATCAATTGGAATGCCATTGGCGATGGCCTTTCGAACATTGTTCTCTGAATTTTTTGCTACAGCCTCATGTAAATCTGTCAAACTATCCTGTCGATGAAACTGTTTTCCAGCTTCGCTGCTCTGTTGGTAGGTGTCTGAATGACAAGAAAAAAACATGGTGATCTTCCTATTTTCCTTCTCTTTTCTTTGTCTTTTTTCTATGTAAGATACTTACAGTTTTTCCAGAGTCGACCTCGATTTTTTTTCAAAAGGTTGTAGTAGAAAGTCGATATCGAACAAAGATAGAAAAAGAATCTAGTTAGTTGATCGCTGATTTGCATTTGAGAACTGATTCACTAAACAAATCGATTTATGCTCGATAGGGACTTGGAAAAAACCAACTACATGATATTATTTTTTCGTCATTGCTATTGCGTCAAAAAAAATAGAACAGAACAGATCTACGTTGGCGTATGCGTCAGTATTGGGAAGGTAAAAATAGATTTGCTGTTCTAATCGATATTAGTCGGCGAAACCAGAGACAGGCAAGTATCTTTTGCATTCGGTTTTTTTCACATGATCGACATGAGTCGAGGTAAATAGTACGGCACATCTTTCATCGCACGTTAGCTATTTATGGGAACGTGAAAGTAAAAGTATCTGGCGATAGTGCGCAATCGATTACAAATGCAACAACAAATGAAAATAATCAGTTACATTGTTGTTGAAAGATGAAAGATCGATACTATTGGTTAGATTTCGATGCATCTTTCTACATATGATCTCGTTTATTTGAGTGTTGACAAAGGCACAACGGCTGTCTATTCGAATAAGACCAGTAGTGCATTTGCCCTACGGCATGGATCGACTGGCGAATGTGTCCTACTGATCGATATTGATTTCGGTGCCATCTTTACCCTGCAAGAATATATCGGCAATGCGAACATTCAACCACCACAAATATTCATCTCTCATAATCATTCGAATCATAGTGATGAACTTCCGGTATATATTGTCAATGAAGCTCTCAAATCTCTAGTTCGCATCGTTTATTATACAGACATTCAGTCACGCCTTCGTGAACATCTTTGTGTTGAACTTGATTCGTCAACAACCGATCTATTCAAAAATGTACAATGGGTCACATATGATGAGACCGATGATCTACCGCTTGATTCAGAAGATCCGACTGCATCATTAAAAATTCGCGTCTTACGCAGCCAACACAATGAACTATGCACCGGTTTCGTTCTACTCGAAAATGGATAATCATTGCTGAGCTTTTTCGATGATTCGGAATTCAATATTCCGTTCTATAATTTTCTATGGATGGTATCGACAATTCTTGTCGATGATCGTCAAGGTAGCACACCCGACAACCGGTATTCAACGAAAGATCTACTTGTATTGTTATGGATTGGCGAATGAGAAACTGAGCTTTTCCATCGATGATATATCTGCAGGGTGTGGGTGTCGGTGTGGGTGCAGATGTGGCTGATGATAATACTA